GAAGAATATTCACTTTTGTAATATTATTTTTCTTTAGAAACATACATTTTGGAATCAATAGTTCATAATATACACACATTTATGATGGTTTGAAAAAGGAATATTAAAGCAATATATAAAAAAAAACTGTTATTATTTCCAAATAATGTAGAGGAAATTCATTTGGGTTAAGACATAGGACCTATACTGGTGGAAAGATTCACACTTGCCCAATCAAAAAAAAAATGTGTCACACATTTACAAAGCCAAAGTTCGATAGTATCACACATTCACATCACCAACAAATTATACTGACGTCACGTCATGCACTCTACAACTAGACTGACGACACAAGTTATCGTATTAACTTTAGTGACGTCACATATTCAAACCACAAACTGCGCTAACGTCACAAAATCGCTGTACAAACTGTCGTCGCACATTCACACCATCGCTACAATGACGTCACATAGGCACACTTCCTCCAAACTGGTCTGACGTCACCCAATTAACATTATAATCATAGAAAAACAAAAAGTAAAAATACATCCTGATTAATTATCATACATGATACAAATTTAGGAGATATATGATACAGGTATGGCACAGCGTTGTAACACGGTACTAGGGTTCAAAACCCTTATGTCATCAAAGTTATATAGGATTATACTGTACATAGGGTTTAAACCCCAAAGTCATAAAATTGTAGATTTATATCATACTATATACAACATTAAAATATAAGTTACAGTAAATACAATACATTATATACACTTGTGTTTACAAACCTAATAAAATAATGGGATAGGTGTTTAATTAAACAAAATTTAAGGGTCGATAATTGACAACAGTATTTTTATAGAAAATATTTGAGTGAAGGCCTATATAGTGTACAGGACTCTTGATTTTTTCTCTATTTGAGATATTCACATAAGAATAAGAATAAGATAAAGAAAATAATTTAGTCATTGCTGACGTTATTTGTTTACAGTTAAGTTTTTTTTTTCTTTAAAAATAAACATAATTTAAATGGGGATGCAACCATGACGCAAGATAAATTATTATATAACAATGCACATAGCCTGCATATGCTAATACATCAACCATATTCTTTCATGATGCTTTTATAACTATTTCAGTTAACTACCTTACAATGTTATCATGTGTGATTTAATTAAAATTTGTGGAAAAATAGAGTTTATGTTAATTTAAATCAAACGTGGACTATAGAAGTAATAATCTTATATCATTAAAGTAACACTTAAATATTGTTCGTAAGGATTTTGATAAGATCTGCGAGGAATAGAATTTGATAGATAATTTTAATGTAAAATATAGTATTTATTTTATAAAAATCTGTTTATCCTGTTGCTTAGATTTGGTTTTAAGAGGAGGTAACAAGTACCGGTGACAAAGTATTAAAAATATAGTGATTATTTCCCTTTATCTAAGATTGTTATAAAAGTAATAAAAATAAAAAAAATAAAAACTTAAGCATGCACATTTTATAAAAAAACGTGCATAAATTTGAACATTTAAACTTGTGCTGACTATACGAATGTCATTCGTTATTGATTCAAAGTACATGATTTTTTTTTAATTACTTCATTTAAAACGTTTACATTAATTAACATTTAGTTGAAACGGATTTAAGTCTATGTATAAGAAAAATATACAAACAAATTAAAGTGCTAGTCAGGCTTACAGACAGGTAAAAAACGTGGAACCCTTTGTGAAACACAAATAAAACAATCAAGCTAAAGGGAGAGAATGCATTCTAGTATCATGGTATTGTAAATGAACGACAAGGCGACAGGAAAGTTGTGCGGATAGATCAAGCACACTGAGCTAAGCGGACATCTTTTGTGCAGATAGTAAAACAATTTTATCTTTTAATTATTTTTTTTTTGTAACATTCACCGGGAACTCCATCCAGTTCTTGAAATATTCTTTCAAAGAAATCAAGTATTATGCCGGGTGAGAAGGGAGATAATTCACTCATAATCAAGTATTATGCCGGGTGAGAAGGGAGATAATTCATTCATAATCAAGTATTATGCCGGGTGAGAAGGGAGATAATTCATTCATAATCAACTACTATGCCGGGTGAGAAGGGAGATAATTCATTCATAATCAACTACTATGCCGGGTGAGAAGGGAGATAATTCACACATAATCAAGTTGCATGTCGGGTGAGAAGGGAGATAATTCATTCATAATCAACTACTATGCCGGGTGAGAAGGGAGATAATTCATTCATAATCAAGTATTATGCCGGGTGAGAAGGGAGATAATTCATTCATATTTAACTATTAAACCGTTGAGAAGGGAGATAAATCATTCATAACCAGTATTATGCCGGGTGAGAAGGGAGATAATTCATTCATAACCAGAAAACTAGCAGAAAATTCGGATAACTACTTTCATACTTATCGCTCTTCATTTTGAATTAAAAGCCTGCCTCGGATGTGTCTATTTTAAAAGAAAATATGAAGGGAATTTCAAAAAATTAATTATTATCAAAGGATAAATAAATAGATCGATATAAGAATTTAGATAGTGTTTATTAAACACTTTAAAAAAAATAATTTATTAGTTATGCCATATTATGATTGACAATTAATTATTTTCATTAGGCAAATTTTCAATCTTTCAATATTTCTACATTGTTAGTACGAAATTCACAATAACAATCAAAAAGAAAAAAAGAAAATAAACGAAAAAAATTACGTCAAACAAAATGTTAGTACGAAATTAAACACACACATAATATATCATATACAGGCAACATACTATTTAAATGTTATTAATAAAACTGAATGTTTAGTAACATTCCTCCACAACATTAACTATTCACAAACATTTGTATCACTTTTTAACTTCAAATATCACAATTTTCTTACATTAAAAAAAAACGAATCACATCCAATTTTTTAAACTTTAAAATACTAAAATCTCCAAGTTTGGGGTTATTTCCGTCTTGTAAAGGTCAAGGGCATGTCGTCTGCGCACTTAGTAACGGGCAGATACACCATCTTGGAATCTGGGTTAAGCAGCTTCCAGTTAGCCAGACGTGCCACCTCGATCAGGAAGACGGCCATTTCCGCTAGTGCCAGATTCTTCCCGAGACAGGAGCGAGGGCCGATGCCAAAAGGAATGTAGTTGCAAGTCTCAGCTTTTCTCAGCATTTCCTGTCAGGCGCGGGGCAAAAAATTAATTAATTAAATTACTGATGTGTTGCTGCGTTGTAATAATCATACAAATAATTTATTTGAGAGGACATTCATAAGTATTTTTAAATAGCAACGCAGATATAAGCTGTAGAATGCACGTTATAAAAGGAATTGATACAATAATTAGCATTTGGTTAAATCAAGGCTGCTGATCAGTATATGACGAGGTTTAATCAGAACTACTAGATAGAAATAATGACACTAGTTGTATTCAGGACAACTGCTACTCTGTCATTTACAGTTAATTTAGGCTCACTGACCAGCAAATGACATGTAGTTATTGTCGGGCTACTGACCAACAAATGACATTTAGTCAATCCTAAGATACTGACCAACAAATGACAATAGTTAATGCCCAGATACTGACCAGTAAATTTTTGTCCTTCCACCGTTCTGGGAGAAACTCATCCCTGCGTTCAAACACATTCGTGGTAAAATGTGTATCTCTGATGCTATACATCACGGTCCATCCTTGTGGTACCTGCCAGTTCTGATTGATAAAAGAGTATATATATATATATATATATATATATATATATATATATATATATATATATATATACATAACATTATATCTAAGTAGCCCATCATAGTTTTGTTTTTAACTTAAGATTATCAAGCGGTAGAGCGCTAGACTCCTAAACCGAAAGTCTTGAGTTTGAATCCGGGGTTGAGTCTGCAGAATGGGTACCTAACACGTTGGGGAAATTACAGGCGGTAGGACATGGTGCTGACTACACTATCCCTTCATATGCCGAGGTCACAGAAACAGGTGAACTCTACTTCACTTACCCCATGAACCGTCAAGTTCGAAAGGGATCTTTGCTTTTACTATAATGTATAATATTTTTTTTAAAGATGAGTTAGTATATTTTTTTACGGTCATACCTGATTGCATGTTATAATTTACAAATAATCGTAATCCATATAAACAACAATATATTTTTGTTGTTATATTTTGAGAAATATAGACTACTTGATGTCAGGTTTTAATTTACGAGCAAACTAAAAATATAGAAGTACATAATTCTGTACCGTGACAGCAACAGGGACTAAAAACTAAATAAAACAAATGACCTTACCCCAACCTCTAGGGTCTTCTGCGCTTGTCTGAAAACACCCCCGACTGGGGGGTGTAGCCTGAGCACCTCCTTGATGACCCACTGTGTGTACTCCAGGCTCTGTAGGAGGTCATAGGTCAGATGGGTGCTGATGTCTAAAGACGGAAGAATCATCGATTACTTAATTAATAATTAGCTACTGAAAATGTTAAATCATCACAAATTTAAAAAGAACTCCATTAATTAATTAAGACATTAAAGTTTGATGTAAATCCACGAGTTGATAGAAACATAAATGATGTAAATTAACTGTGGCATCAAGTACGAAAGACGCATGTGTTTATAGAAGTGGTTCGAACCGCAGGGGTTTGGTGAGTCAGACTCATGGGTTGGGCGTATGCCAAGACACATACCCGACTCATTTGATTCAGGATCTGATTGGGGCGATAGAAATATTAAGAAGGGTTCGGTGAATGCACGTGTGAAACGGGTGGGGTTCGGTACTTCCAAAAAGGTTAAGAACCACTGGTCAATAGACATAACTCGATGTTGAGAAGGACCTTTCCTATATGTGGACGGCCTATGTACTCAGATACCTAGATGAGGACGTAGGTTTGGTCTTCATTATCCTTAATGGGTAATTGTTTTTAATCCCGCAAAGTGATCCCAGACAAGGCCACTCCCTCCCACCTAACAACACCTACACACCGCCCTTGATCGACCCCCACCTCTCCCCCACACACCACCACCTACACACCGCCCTTGATCGACGCCCCTCTCCCCCATACACCACCACCTACACACCACCCTTTGATCGACGCCACCATCACCCTTACACCTACCTGGGCTCAGCAACCCCTTGGCGTCCAGCTCCTGCCGCAACTTCTCCAAGACATCGGGATGTTTGCCCAACATCAGCAGCAGACACCCCAGGGCGCCGGCCGTTGTCCCGCTTCCCGCGATCAGGAAGGTCACCGCGTTGTCAATCACCTGCTCCTCCGTCAGCCCCGCCCCTTCCTCGCCGGACACGTGACCGCTGCCCGCGAGGAAGACATCAAGGACGCACACATGGTCCTTATCGCCTTGGGAATGGAGCCTCTGCCGGACAAAGTCTGTGATGGTCTTTCTAGCTTTCACAGCCTGAATGAGGGACATAGTCTTTGGGTGACAACTTGTTTAAAAGTCGACAAAGTAGAAAACTCTAAGCAGAACTACTTATTCTTCTTCGTTCTTAATTTTAAGTATATGTGTCAACTGGTTATCCGCCGTTGAGGCCATTGACTCCGATTTCAGCCTGATTTTCTTTTTGGATTTGGTTCCATAGCCTTTGTCCAACCAAGAACAAACTACAAGGCAGCAGTTGTTTGATTTAGAGTTGTCTATGCTAGAAGAGTGGCTGTCCCCAGCTAACGAGCCTCATCTGCTCGAGGGTTTGAACTCGAGACTTTTCGATTTAGCAACCATGAGCTTTACTGACTGGACCACGCCGACCCCTAGCAGGCTACTAAAAGCTCTAAAATTGTATTAAGCAAATGTTTTTATATGATCGGCAGGTAGAACTCAAAACTACTATTCCGAAAAGACTGAGTTCGAATCCGTCCACCCAGCTCTGATTGTTACCCAATCAAAAAGACGACCATCACCACTAATACCCACACCATCATTACTATTCAGCTCTGATTGGTACTTGAAACATGCTATTGAAAACAAAAGCGGCAGGGCATGGAACTGATGTTCAATACTTCTTAGAACATCAAGTACATAGGGGGAAATTTATTTTTTTTATTTTTCATTTGCCAATTAGATTAACTAGAAGTCTTCTACGTATCATAAAGATGAGATGCATATTTTAAAGATTAAACAAAATATTTTTTCCTAAAATTCAAACATGCATTTTCAGGTTTATACTTTGTACGTTGTCTCACCAGATGAAATATATACTGACAGAACTGACGAATTTACTAACCCACATGATAAAATATACTGACAATTATACATGACAAAATCTACTATCCCATATGATAAAATATACTGACAATCATACATGACAGAATCTACTAACCCACCTGATAAAATCTACTAATATCACATCTGGAAACAACTACTAACCCACCTGATAAAATATACTGACAATTATACATGACAAAATCTACTATCCCATATGATAAAATATACTGACAATTATACATGACAAAATCTACTAACCCACCTGATAAAATATACTGACAATTATACATGACAAAATCTACTATCCCATATGATAAAATATACTGACAATCATACATGACAAAATCTACTAACCATCCTGATAAAATATACTAATATCACATCTGGGAACAACTACTAACCCACCTGATAAAATATACTAATATCACATGTGGGAACAACTACTAACACACCTGATAAAATATACTAATATCACATCTGGGAACAACTACGAACCTACCTGATGGTACCCCCCCTCCAGGTATCCTGATCGGCACGGAAATCAAATTCTTGTTGACCTTGACAAACGCCCTTCTAATTTCCCCATCCGGGTCATTTTCCTTTCGCCAACCCAGGGTCACCTCCATGATGACGTCACCCATGAGCTCCTCGCACGCTGGGAACCCCAGGACCCGACCCTCCTGGCACCATTTGAGGATGTGCTCCTGCATCTTCTCCTGGATGCATGGCAGGTAGTCGTCCAGCCTGGGGACCGACAGGTAAATCATAGGACACGGTGGTGGATTGACAGACAGGCTGACAAGGCTGTAAGCGAGGGCCCGCACACAATTACAACCACAGTCAACAATACCATTAACTTCAGTCAACTATCTCAACGGCCACTCCACCTCTACACAAACACAGTCAACACTACCACCAACTTCGGTCATCACCCTCAACAGCCACCCTACCCCACACAATCACAACCTCAATCAACACCACCATCAACTTCAGTCACAACCACCTCAGCCACAACCACCTCAGTCACAACCACCTCAGTCACAACCACCTCAGTCATAATCACCTCAGTCACAACCACCTCAGTCATAACCACCTCAGTCACAACCACCTCAGCCACAACCACCTCAGCCACAACCACCTCAGCCACAACCACCTCAGTCACAACCACCTCAGTCAAACCACCTCAAGAACAACCACCTCAGCCACATCCACCTCAGCCACAACCACCTTAGCCACAACCACCTCAGCCACAACCACCTCAGCCACAACCACCTCAGCCACAACCACCTCAGCCACAACCACCTCAGCCACAACCACCTCAGTCACAACCACCTCAGTCACAACCACCTCAGCCACAACCACCTCAGCCACAACCACCTCAGTCACAACCAACTCAGCCACAACCACCTCAGTCACAACCACCTCAGCCTCAACCACCTCACCTGACTGGTGTTAAGGTTGTCAACAGCGTCTTCTTCAACCTAGAATGTTCCTCCCCGGTAATATTCGTGATGCTGCTGTTCCCGAACATCTGCCGTGATGATGTCGGCACCTTCATAGTCAACAGACCCGGCTCTTTGTTCACTAGCGGGGCAATGTACTCGGCGCCCGACACCCTGACAATGGGGCCCCCTAATATATGGGTCTTGTAGATCTTACCGTACTTTGCTACTCTCTCGACGAAAAACTGGGCACCCTGAAATGTAAACAAACAGATTTCCAATTAAAAGTAATTTTATTTTCAGGAACAATAATAAAATTTTATAAAATAATAGTCGAACCAGTATCCGGTTGGAAAAAGCTCTGTAGACTGCATCACAAAACGATATCCCACGTGGACCACCCCACGCCTTTTACACTTGTACACTCAAAATAATCCCTCTTCTCATTCAATCTCTTGCATACATACATACATACATACACACATACTCACACACACACAGTCATATATATATATATATATATATATATATATATATATATATATATATATATATATATATATATATATATATATATATATGTATACCGGAAGCCCAGGTTGATTTGTAGTTATAGATAGATACATTATTAAAATGAAGCAAATGTTATATTGCACGCCACGCCTAGGCATAACGGCTCCGGGGATACTAAATTGGAAACGGAGATTCCCGAAACTAAAATGAAACCAATTTCTTCGCCGGATTCCGCTTTACCGAAGTTGATGAAAAACAAAAACGGCGATGTTTCTTTTCATCAAATTCTCAACGGACAGTGCGAAAAGGAGAAGGTTCCAAAGCTCAGACAGAGAAGTTCCAAGCAGGTGGGGCAGTCCTTAGCAGACGCTCGCCGTAGATTCGAGAACAGACAAAAAAATTGCCAAGAGAAACCGGTCGAGCAGGGAGTCGTAGTGACGTCATCGTCGTCTGAGACGGTCATGGATCGAGACCAGCTGATCTCGATGCAGGTCAAGGACGCGGAGGTCAAGCCACCGTGCGAGGGACCGTCGACCACCCCACGGGTCACGACGACGCAGGGGGACGACACGCAGACGAAGGTCAGAGCTGTAGAGCCAGGCTTCAAGACCCTGAGGTAAGTCCGGTCTGTTAATAAACCTATACACGAATTTAAAAACAAGCTAGGAAAAAAAAACGTACTTAGTCTTCAGACAAATAAAAACGAGCAATATAAAATCTTCTCCCTTGATACTGTGTAGGACATTACACAAACCTAATAACACCTTCGACGGTTTTTTTGTTTTATTTTTGGTTCACTGTAGGTTATATAGGGATAAAATTTAGTTAGTGCCTTTAGCTGGGGTAGTCTATGCACATATGAAGAAATAAGGCTATCTTAAAGTCAGAGGACGGAGTGGTCTAGACGTAGAGAGCTGGACTGCTAACCCGTATGGCATGAGTTCGAATCCGGGTTCAAGTCAGTAGACCGTCCCTGAGTCCACCCAACTCTGGTGGGTACCTAACTCATGTTAGGGAAAGTAAAGGCGGCTGGGCATAGTGCTGACCACACTATCTCTTCATATGCCGAGGTCACAGAAACAAGTGAACTCTACTTCACTTGCCCCATTGACCGTCAAATTTGAAAGTTTGTCCCCGGGAAGGGTCGCTACGCCTCTGGGGGGTGACACCATTAAGTGCCGCACCGGGTGACACCCGACCTCGCAACGCCACTGCTTAAAGTATGTTTTCAGGAATCATGTTTCTCTTGTTCAACATGTTTCTTCCAGGTCTAGATCTAGTGTGTTTTATTCACAGGTTATGTCGTCTTGTTTGTTCAAACATCGACATGATTGCCATAAGAGTAGCTTTTTAAAGTTATATATATATATATATATATATATATATATATATATATATATATATATATATATATATATATATATATATATATATATATGTATGTATGTATGTATTGTTTTTCTAGCGCCGAAGAGCTCCAGAAACGCAGCGTGACCACCTTTGAGAAGACGGTATTTATCCTGAAATGGATCAAAGATGTCCAACGCTTGTGCCCCACAATCCACCCAGAGAACTATCTCGATAGTCCAGACACAAACCCCCAAACACAACCTTGTAGCCAAAATCTTTAGCTTCTTTTTAACCTACTGATCAATTATTTACTTTATTTATCATCTTCATTATTTTTTTGTTATTCTCCATATATTATATATATATATATATATATATATATATATATATATATATATATATATATATATATGTAGTTATTGGGGAGGTTATTTATATAGAGCGCAGCGCAGGAAATCATTTTCCCGCAGTGGTTAAGTTTCTATCTTTATCCTTCCATCTGAATAAAGAAAAGGTAAGGCCACTCTATATTTGTACGTATTTGTGTTGACTAACTCACCCGACTCTGGTCTTGATACATACAACCACTGTCATGTAGACTGATAGAAATTTTGTAAGCCACCCACCATTCCTTTTTTATATTTTAGTAAATAAACACATGATACATATTTACTGAATAAACCTTTTTTTAAAAAATAGTTTTTCTGTATAATCATTATTTATTTTTAATACATTATACTGGTAATGTTAATTTATATAATAATCAGAATAGTTTTAGTATATCAGTTGCATCTTCTCGCAAGAAAAGTTGGATTACTGAGCCAAAAATCTTTAATATTTATAAACGCAAAAAAAAACCATCGAAAAACAAATAATTATATTATTACGGGAAACGTGCTGGTATTTTGCTAATTAGCGGTGGGGTACGTAGGTCTATACCATAACGGCTGTCTTATCTGTAATGAAAGAAAATGTTTTTAAAACTACCGTCGAATTAACTTTTTATTTTATCTGGATGCGTTACACTTACGCTTGGATTAGTGCGTAGGGGGTAGGGGGGGGGGGGGGGGGGGGTCCGTAATTTTGTGACGATGTGTGATGAGGGGCGGGGGGGGGGGGGGGGTTCAGCTGTTGCGACGTCAAATTTTTGCATTATAAAAAAGCAATGTTATAAACCAAATTTTAGACGTTATTTTAGATAACGGTTTTAATAAATTATAATAGTTTAGACAAGATTTTGGAAAAATATCGATGTTTTAAAAAAATTCAACTGCAATTTTGAGGGGGGTTGTAAGTTGAGGTATGACGTCATTTTAGGGGGGGGGGGGGCGGGTCTGGCTTTTTGTGACGACATGTGACGGAGGGGAGGGGGGAAGGTAAAAATCGTCAAAAAAAAAGCGTGACGTCATTTATGGATGACCCTTTAGCTTTAAATCACTATTTCGGTAAATGTGCAAATGCATGTTTTGAATATGTAAAATGACACTAAATGTGTTAGCATGAAAGAAACCCAATAGTGAGAATGATAGTAGTTGCTTTCTTCGAGCATTGCATGATTATCATATCTACACTAGAACATATACACTCGTGGCGAAAAAGAAAATAACGAATACAAGGAAAATCAACTTTTTGTTTTTAATTACGTTCAAAACAACAATTGAAAAATTCTTGGAAATATTCGTTGATTATAGAAGGGGGTTGGGTACAGAGTTTCTTCCAGGCATCTCTTCGGGGGGGGGGGGGGGGGGGGGGGGTGGTGGGGGGTGGGGGGGGGGGGCTAAGCCCCCCCGAAAAAATATTACCGCCCCCCCCCCCCCCGAACGAAATGAAATTTATATAACTTATATAGAAAATATTTACTTTTAACAGTGTCCGCCCCCCCCCCCCCCGAAGAAAGTCTACCGCCCCCCCCCCCCCGAAAATTTCAAGTGCCCCCCCCCCCCCCCCGAGAATAAAGTCTGGAAGAAACACTGGTTGGGTATAGGCCTACTCACATTTTGGGGGGTGTTTTGTGTGAAAAGTTACCTGTGTAGTCACGCAACACTCACTTTGGAATTTGTTGTAAATTCGACACACATATTTTTTTTACTTCTACCTCAATTGTAAACTTTAAAACAACAAATCTGAGTTTAGATTTCAAAAAAAAATTAAACAATGGTACAAGGTACATGTTAATAAATTGATTTGGATGATAATGTTTGGATTTATTGTCAAAAAAGGTAGCACACGATCAGTAATGTTATACACTTTTACATTTCTGAAGTCACATAAGCATTATCGTTTTTTTATTCCTTCAATTTGTCTTGCGTCTTATATGCCATATCTTGTCATGTTTCATATATGTTATATGTTGTCATTGTGTCATATATGTTATATGTTTTCATCGTGTCATATATGTTATATGTTGTCATTGTATATGTTCATTGTGTCATATAAAGCATATTTTGTCATTGTGTTTTGTGTTGTATATTTATTTCATGTTATATGGTCAGCATGTTCCACGGTAACCATAACTAATATTGAGTTTCCGGTCGCAGTGTCTTCTACTCTATGTGTCCTTTGATCGTTGTGTCTTCCGGTTTCAGTTTGTTCAGGTCAAAGTGTCTTTCTGTCACTTTGTATTCTGTATAATTGTACTTCTGTCAACAAATTTTCCGGTCCTTGTGTCTTATGGTCACTCTATAATTCCGGTAACAGAATAATCCGGTCTTTGTGTCTTCGTTTTGCATTATCCGTAAATTTCGGTCACCGTATCTTCCGGCTGCGTAACTTCTGGTCTTCTATTCTCATGATCTTATACGCACGGTGTCTTCCGGCTACCGTGTCGAATGTCTCTAGACAGCACTACGTAACATGGCACAGCCGCACATAAACAACAGATTGCTATTTACATTACAACATACAACATGTAGAAAAAAAACATCAACAGTTTCTTTTCCCTACCCCTAAAACTCATCCCCCCCCCCCCCAACCAAAGCTCATCCCCCAGTCACCCCCCCCCCCCCTCCCCAAAGAAATAGAATAAAAAATAGAAAATATTTTATATATAAAATATATAACTAGTGTCCACCCATTCTCACTTCCCCCCCCCCCCCCCCCTCCGCCTCCTTTCCCAGAAAATTTAAGCGCGCACCCCTCTAAAATGTGCTCCCACAACCCAAAGCGGAGAAATAATGGCTGAAAGAAACACTGAACATTAAACATCTAGAGCACCATAATATATTGATTTACAAATCAGGATCGTGTTACATTAATGGATCTTTCACACTAAAACTATCAATATCGGGCATGCATTAACCTAATGCATCGTTTAACAGATTCGAGATAAAAGGGGAAGAATATTCACTTTTGTAATATTGTTTTTCTCTAGGAACGTACATTTTGGAATCAATAGTTCATAATATACATACATGTTTTGAAAAACGGAATATTAAAAAAAAACTTGTTGATTTTTGCCAAGTAATGAATGGGAATTTTTTTTTGGGTAATGTTGTATACTGGTGTAAAAAATTCCCACTAGCACAAAAAAAAAAAAAACAACATGTCGCACATTTACAAAGCCAAACAAAGTTCGATGGTATCACACATTCACATCACCAACAAATTATGCTGACGTCACGTCATGCACTCTAAAACTAGACTAAAGTCACAGGTTATCCAATTAAATATAGTGACGTCACACATTCAAACCACAAATTGCGCTGACGTCACAAAATTGCTGCACAAACTGTCGTCGCACATTCACGCCATTGCTACACTCACTGACGTCACATACGCACACGTCCTTCAAACTGGTCCAACGTCACATAATTAACATTATAATCATAGAGAAACAAAACATAAAAATACATCCCGATTAGTTATCATACATGATACATGATACAAATTTAGGAGAGATATGATACAGGTATGGCACAGCGTTGTAACACGGTACTAGGGTTCAAAACCCTTATGTCATTAAAGTTATATAGGATTATACTGTACATAGTGTTTAAACCCCAAAGTCATAAAATTGTAGATTTATATCATACTATATACAACATTAGGATCCTAGTTACAGCTTATACAATACATTATTTACACTTGTTTTTACTAACCTAATAAAATAATGGGATAGGTGTTTAATTAAACAATACCTAAGGGTCGATAATTGACAACAGTATTTTTATAGAAAATATTTATAGAAAATATTTGACTGTAGGCCTAATGCCTATATAGTGTACAGAACTCTTGATTGTTTTGTTTTTCTCTTTGAGGTATACACATTAGAATTTACGATAGAATAAAGAAACTAATTTAGTCATTGCAAACGCTACTTGTTTAAAACACTTGTTTTTAAAAAGTAAACATAATTTGAATGTGGATGCAACCATGACGAAAGATAAATTATTATTAAACAATGCACATAGCCTGCATATGCTAATACATCAACCATATTCTTTAATGATGCTTTTAAAATTATTTCAGTTAACCACCTTACAAGGTTGTCATGTGTGATTTAATCAAATTTGTGGGAAAATAAAGTTTTAGGTTATTTTAAATGTAACGTGGACTATAGAAGTAACAATCTTATATCATTAAAGTAACACTTAAATATTGTTCGTACGATTTTTTATAAGATCTGCGAGGAATAGAATTTAATAGCTAATTTTAATGTAAATTATAGTATTTATTTTTTAAAATCTGTGTATCCTGTTGCTTGTATTTAGTTTTAAGAGGAGGTAACAAGTACCGGCGACAAAGTATTAAAAAAATATAGTGATTATTTCTCTTTATCAAAGGTTGTTACAAACTCATTAAAAATAAAAACACACTTAAGCATGGACATTTTATAAAAAAATGAGCATAAATTCGAACATTTAAACTTGTGCTGACTATATGAATGTCATTCGCTATTGATTCAAAGTACATACATTTTTTTTTACTTACTTCATTTAAACCGTTTACATTAATTAACATTTAGTTGTAACGGATTTAAGTCTATGTATGAGAAAAAAATGTACAAACAAATTAAAGTTATAGTCAGGCTTACAGACAAGTAAAAAACATGGAATCTTTTGTGATACACAAATAAAACAATCAAGCTAAAGGGATAGAATGCATTATAGTATCATGGTATTGTTAATGAAGGACAAGGCGACAGGAAAGTTGTGCGGATAGATCAAGCACACTGAGCTAAGCGGACATCTTTTGTGCAGATAGTAAGACAATTTTAACTTTTAATGATTTAATTTTTTGTAACATTCACCGGGAACTCCATCCAGTTCTTGAAATATTCTTTCAAAGAAATCAAGTATTATGCCGGGTGAGAAGGGAGATAATTCATTCATAATCAAGTATTATGCCGGGTGAGAAGGGAGATAATTCATTCATAATCAAGTATTATGCCGGGTGAGAAGGGAGATAATTCATTCATAACCAGTATTATTCGGGAGAAGGGAGATAAATCATTCATAACCAGAAAACTAGCAGAAAATTCGGAGAATTACTTTCATACTGATCGCTCTTCATTTTGACTTAAAAGCCTGCCTCGGATGTGTCTATTTTAAAAGAAAATATGAAGGGAATTTCAGAAAATTAATTATTATCAAACGATAAATAAATAGATCGATATAAGAATTTAGATAGTGTTTATTAAACACTTTTAAAAAAATAATTAATTAGTTATGCCATATAATGATTGACAATTAATTAGTTACATTAGGCAAATTTTCAATCTTTCAATATTTCTACATTGTTAGTACGAAATTCACAATAACAATCAAAAATAAAAAATAAAATAAACGAAAAAAATTACGTTACGTCGAGGCAAAAATAAAACAGAATGTTAGTACGAAATTAAACACACACACAATATATCATATACAGGCAACATTCTATTTAAATGTTATTAATAAAACTGAATGTTTAGTAACATTCCTCCACAACAGTAACTATTCACAAACATTTGTATCACTTTTTAACTTCAAATATCACAATTTTCTTACATTTAAAAAAAAAACCAATCACATTCTATTTTTTAACTTTAAAATACTAAAATCGCCATGCTCAGGGTTATTTCCGTCTTGAGAAGGTCAAGGGCATGTCGTCTGCGCACTTAGTAACGGGCAGATACACCATCTTGGATTCTGGGTTAAGCAGCTTCCAGTTAGCCAGACGTGCCACCTCGATCAGGAAGACGGCCATTTCCGCTAGTGCCAGATTCTTCCCGAGGCAGGAGCGAGGGCCGATGCCAAAAGGAATGTAGTTGCAGGTTTCAGCTTTTCTCAGCATTTCCTGTCAGGCGCGGAGCAACAAAAAAAAATAATTAATTAAATTACTGATTTGTTGCTGTGTTGTAATAGTCATAGAAATAGTTTATTTCAATGACATTCATAAATATTTTTAAATAGCAACGCAGACATGAGCTGTTGAATGCATATAATAAAAGGAATTAGATATATAATTAGCATTTGGTAAAATTAAGGCTACTAATCAGTATATGACGAAATTTAATCAGAAGTACTAGATATGAATAACGATCAGTAAATGATACTAGGTGTATTCAGGACAATTGTTCCACTGTCGTTTATAGTTAATGTAGGCTTACTGACTAGCAAATAATTGTAGTTAATGTCATGCTTCTGACCAACAAATGACATGTAGTCATTGCATGGCTACCGACCAACAAATGACATGTAGTTAATGCATGGCTACTGACCAACAAATGAAATGTAGTCATTGCATGGCTACCGACCAACAAATGACCAGCTAATGACATGTAGTTAATGCATGGCTACTGACCAACAAATGAAAGGTAATTAATGCATGACCACTGACCATCAAATGACATATAGTTAATGCCCGGATACTGACCAGTAAATTTTTGTCCTTCCACCTTTCTGGAAGAAACTCGTCCCTGCGTTCGAACACATTCGTGGTAAAGTGAGTATCTCTGATGCTATACATCACGGTCCATCCTTGTGGTACCTGCCAGTTCTGATTGATAAAAGAGTATATTATAACTTACGTTATATCTAAGTAGACCAATAAAGTTTTGTTGTTAACTTAAGATTATTATGCGGTACAGCGATAAAAATGCTAACCTGAAAGTCTTGAGCTTGAATCCGGGTTTGAGTCAGTAGAATGGGTACCCAACACAAGTTGGGGAAATTAAAGGGGGTAGGACATGGTGCTGACCACACTATCCCTTCATATGCCGAGGTCAAAGAAACAGGTGAACTCTACTTTACTTACCCCATGAACCTCCAAGTTCGAAAGGGAACTTTGCTTTTACTATAATGCAAAATATTTTTTTAAAAAGATGAGTAGTATATACTTTTACTGTCATGCCTGATTGCATGTTATAATTTACAAATAATCGTAATCCGTATAAACAACAATATATTTTTGTTGTTATATTTTGAGAAATATAGACTACTTGATGTCAGGTTTTAATTTAAGAGCAAACTTAAAAATATAAAAGTACATAATTCTGTACCGTGACAGCAACAGGGACTTAAAACAAAACAAAACAAATGACCTTACCCCAACCTCTAGGGTCTTCTTCGCTTGTCTAAAAACACCTCCGACTGGAGGGTGTAGCCTGAGCACCTCCTTGATGACCCACTGGGTGTACTCCAGGCTCTGTAGGAGGTCATAGGTCAGGTGGGTGCTCATATCTACAGATAGAAAAATTACTTTATCAAAAATTAGTTACTGAAAATGTTAAATCATCATAGTTTGAAAAAGAACTATTAATTAATTAGGACATTACAGTATGATGTAAATCATTGGGTTGATTAACACAAAAGATTTTAACTGTGGCATCGAGTACGAAAGACGCCTGTGTTTATAGAAGTGGTTCTAAACCTGGATTCGATCGAACCTCAGGGGTTTGGCGAGTCAGTCTCATAGGTTCGGTGGATGTCAAGACACATACCCGACTCAGGATTGAGGATCTGATTATGTCAGTGGGGACGATACAAATATCAAGAAGGGTTCGGTGAATGAAAGTGAGAAACAGGTGGGGTTCGGTACCACTGGTCAATAGACATAACTAGATGTTGAGAAGGACCTTTCCTATATGTGGACGGTCTATGTAGTCAGATACCTAGAAGAGGACGTAGATTTGGTCTTCATTATCCTTATTGAGATATTGTTTTTTAATCATGTAAAGTGTTCCCAGGCAAGACCACCCCCTCCCACCCATTAACACCTACACACGCCCTTGATCGACCCCCATCTCCCCCACACACAACCACCTACACACGCCCTTGATCGACCCCCATCTCCCCCACACACAACCACCTACACATGCCCTTGATCGACCCCCTCTCCCCCACACACAACCACCTACACACGCCCTTGATCGACCCCCATCTCCCCCACACACAACCACCTACACACGCCCTTGATCGACCCCCCCTCTCCCCCACACACCAACACCTACACACCGCCCTTGATCGACCCCCTCTCCCCCAACACGCCACCACCTACACACCGCCCTTGATCGACCCCCATCTCCCCCACACACAACCACCTACACACGCCCTTGATCGACCCCATCTCCCCCACACACCACCGCCTACACACCGCCCATGATCGACGCCGCCATCACCCGTACACCTACCTGGGCTCAGCAACCCCTTGGCGTCCAACTCCTGCCGCAGCTTCTCCAAGACATCGGGATGTTTGCCCAACACCAGCAGCAGACACCCAAGGGCGCCGGCCGTCGTCCCGCTCCCTGCGATCAGGAAGGTCACCGCGTTGTCAATCACCTGCTCCTCCGTCAGCCCCGCCCCTTCCTCGCCGGACCCGTGACCCCTGCCCGCGAGGAAGACATCAAGGACGCACACATGGTCCTTATCGCCTTGGGAGTGGAGCCTTTGCCGGACAAAGTCCGTGATGGTCTTTCTAGCTTTCACAGCCTGAATAAGGGACACATAGTCTTTTGCGGACATCTTGTTTAAAAGTCGACAAAGTAGAAAACTCTAAGCAGAACTACTTATTCTTCTTCGTTCTTAATTTTAAGTATATGTGTCAACTGGTTATCCGCCGTTGAGGCCATTGACTCCGATTTCAGCCTGCTTTTTTTTTTGGATTTGGTTCCTTGGCGTTTGTCCAACCAAGAACACACTACAAGGCAGCAGTTGTTTGATTTGGGAGTTGTCTCTCCTAGAAGAGTGGCTGTCTCCAGCTAACGAGCCTCATCTGCCCGAGGGTTTGAACTCGAGACTTTTCTATTTAACAACCATGAGCTTTACCGACTGGACCACGCCGACCCCTAGCAGGCTACTAAAAGCTCTAAAATTGTATTAAGCTAATGTTTTTATATGGTCGGTAGGTAGAACTCAAAACTGCTATTCGGAAAAGTCTGTGTTCGAATCCGTCCATCCTGCTCTGATTGTTACCCAATCAAAAAGACGACCATCACCCCTAATACACACACGATCATCACCATTCAGCTCTGATTGGTACTTGAAACATGCTATTGAAAACAAAAGCGGCAGGGCATGGAACTGATGTTCAATACCTCTTAGAACATCAAGTCCATAGGGGGAAAAATATTTTTTTTAATTTTTCATTTGCCAATTAGATTAACTAGAAGTCTTCTACGTATCATAAAGATGAGATGCATATTTTAAAGATTAAACAAAATATTTTTTCCTAAAATTCAAACATGCATTTTCAGGTTTATACTTTGTACGTTGTCTCACCAGATGAAATATATACTGACAGAACTGACGAATTTACTAACCCACATGATAAAATATACTGACAATTATACAGGACAGAATCTACTAACCCACATGATAAAATATACTGACAATCACACATGACAAAATCTACTAACCCGCATGATAAAATATACTGATCATTATTACATTATAAAATCTACTAACCAACATGACAAAATATACTGGCAATCATACATGACAAAATCTACTAACCCACTTGATAAAATATACTGACAATCACAAATGACAGAATCTACTAACCCACATGATAAAATATACTAATATCACATCTGGGAACAACTACTAACCTACCTGATAAAATATACTAATATCACATCTGGAAACAACTACTAACCTACCTGATAAAATATACTAATATTACATCTGGAAACAACTACTAACCTACCTGATAAAATATACTAATATCATATCTGGAAACAACTACTAACCTACCTGATAAAATATACTAATATCACATCTGGGAACAACTACTAACCCACCTGATAAAATATACTAATATCACATCTGGAAACAACTACTAACCCACCTGATTGTACCCCCCTCCAGGTATCCGAATCGGCACGGAAATCAGGTTCTTGTTGACCTTGACAAACGCCTTTCTAATTTCCCCATCCGGGTCGTTTTCCTTTCGCCATCCCAGGGTCACCTCCATGATGACGTCACCCATGAGCTCCTCGCACGCTGGGAACCCCAGAACCCGACCCTCCTGGCACCACTTGATGATGTGCTCCTGTATCTTCTCCTGGACACAGGGCAGGTAGTCGTCCAGCCTGGGGACCGACAGGTAAATCATAGGACACGGTGGTGGATTGGCAGACAGGCTGACAGGGCTGTAAGCGAGGGCCCCAATCTTTGGGGACTCCATATTTTTTTATTTAAAACAATTTGCAAATTTTTAACTTTTTTTTTCTTTTGAATTGGTTTAAACTAAAAAAAAAATTAGAAAAATTCGGGGATACTTCGACTTTTGTCGAGATAAAATTTTGTTATTTTGATGTGTTTTACAAAAAAAGTTATATATATATATATATATATATATATATATATATATATATATATATATATATATATATATATGTATATATATCATGTGGAATCATCGCCCTAATCACCCACACAATCATCGCCCACAAACCCACTCGATCATTACCCCAATTACCCGTAATATCATCACACTAATCACGTATATGATATGTACAGTCACCACAACAATCACCCCAACACTTCCATCAACTACACTCAAGATCATCATCACCACCATCATCCCATTCAATCATCACACTTAACAGCCAAACCACATAATGACAACCATAGTCACCACCGCCATCAACTTAAGTCAGCACCATCATCTACTTCAGTCACTACCTTAAACATTCACCGCACACAATTACAACCACAGGCAACAATACCATCAACTTCAGTCAACTGTCTCAACGGGCACTACACAAACAGAGTCAACACCACCACCAACTTAGGTCATCATCCTCAGAAGACACCCCACCTCACACAATCACAACCTCAATCAACACCACCATCAGCTGCAGTCATCATTTTCAACAGCCACCCTACCCCACCCCCCACAATCACACCCACAGTCAACACTACCACCAACTTCAGTCATCACCCTCAACAGCCACCCCACCCCCCACAATCACACCCACAGTCAACACTACCACCAACTTCAGTCATCACCCTCAACAGCCACCCCACCCCCCACAATCACACCCACAGTCAACACTACCACCAACTTCAGTCATCACCCTCAACAGCCACCCCACCCCCCACAATCACACCCACAGTCAACACTACCACCAACTTCAGTCATCACCCTCAACAGCCACCCCACCCCCCACAATCACAACCTCAATCAACACCAACATCAACTTCAGTCACAACCACCTCAGCCACAACCACCTCAGCCACAACCACCTCAGCTACAACCACCTCATCCACAACCACCTCAGTCACAACCACCTCAGCCACAACCACCTCAGCCACAACCACCTCAGCCAGAACCACCTGCCACAACCACCCCAGACACAACCACCTCAGCTACAACCACCTCAGCCACAACCACCTCAGCCACAACCACCTCAGCCACAACCACCTCAGTCACAACCACCTCAGCCACAACCACCTCAGCCAGAACCACCTGCCACAACCACCTCAGCCACAACCACCTCAGCCAGAACCACCTGCCACAACCACCTCAGTTACAACCACCTCAGCCACAACCACCTCAGCAACAACCACCTCAGCCAGAACCACCTGCCACAACCACCTCAGTCACAACCACCTCAGTCACAACCACCTCAGCAACAACCACCTCAGTCACAACCACCTCTGTCACAGCCACCTCAGTCACAACCACCTCAGTCACAACCACCTCAGTCACAACCACCTCAGCCACAACCACCTCAGTCACAACCACCTCAGCCACAACCACCTCAGCCACAACCACCTCAGCCACAACCACCTCAGTCACAACCACCTCAGCCACAACCACCTCAGCCACAACCACCTCAGTCACAACCACCTCAGTCACAACCACCTCAGTCACAACCACCTCAGTCACAACCACCTCAGCCACAACCACCTCAGCCAAAACCACCTCAGTCACAACCACCTCAGCCACAACCACCTCAGTCACAACCACCTCAGCCACAACCACCTCAGTCACAACCACCTCAGCCACAACCACCTCAGCCACAACCACCTCAGCCACAACCACCTCAGCCACAACCACCTCAGCCACAACCACCTCAGTCACAACCACCTCAGCCACAACCACCTCAGCCACAACCACCTCAGTCACAACCACCTCAGCCACAACAACCTCAGCCACAACCACCTCAGCCACAACCACAACAGACACAACCACCTCACCTAACTGGTGTTAAGGTTGTCAGCAGCGTCTTCTTCAACCTAGAATGTTCCTCCCCGGTGATGTTCGTGATGCTGCTGTTCCCGAACATCTGCCGTGATGATGTCGGCACCTTCATAGTCAACAGACCCGGCTCTTTGTTCACCAGAGGGGCGATGTACTCGGCGCCTGACACCCTGACAATGGGGCCCCCTAAAATATGGGTCTTGTAGATCTTACCGTACTTTGCTACTCTCTCGACGAAAAATTGGGCACCCTGAAACAGATTTCCAATTAAAATTAATTTTATTTTCAGGAACAATAATAAAATTTGATAAAACACTATTTAAACCAGTATCCGGTTGGAAAACGGTCTGTTGACTGAACCACAAAATATATCCCACTGGACCAGCACACGCCCTTTACACGTCTACACTCCAAATAATCCCTCTTCTCTTTCAATCTCTTGCATACATGAGCACACACACAAACACACACACACATACACACACAAATATATATATATATATATATATATATATATATATATATATATATATATATATATATATAAACCGCAGGCCAAGGTTGATTTGTAGTTATAGATAGATACATCATTAAAATAAAGCAAATGTTATATTTTCATTTCCCTAATTATTTAATTACGTAAATTATTAATGTTGTAACTTGATTGTACATACGTTAGTTGAATGATTGTTGTGGCATTATGGTATTAGGTGTATCTTTGAAAGATAACAATCGGTGTTTAAAGATTCTAAGCAAGAGCGGAATTTGCTTAAGTGTTGACCAAAATATCTACTGAATGGTTCAGATGTATGCTGCTGAGTGAGTCAGCTGTTGTCATGTTGTTGGGTTGAGCTTTCTATTTTCATGGGATTAACTAGAAGGCGAATTTTTTTTTATTTAATTTTTAATTATTTATTTTTTTGTTCATATCCTATGCTGCTTTTTGAGTTGATTATTTATGATAAAATGTTAAGAAATTATAAATGGATTATTGCAATTAAAATTTTTGTTCCTTTTCTCCCATATATTGATAATATATTTTCAAGGGAAACGACTTGCTATGTTATACTTTTTATGTAACATTTGATTTTGAAAAATACTCTAAGAATGAAATCAAAGAATCATTCTTAATAATTTATAGCATTTAGTCTGAAAAATAAATATATTTGATAAAAAGTGGTTAAAAGTGTATGATTGTAAAGCAAAAATAATTTTTTTAATTAATTGCTTAAAACACCTAACCTTCGGATAGTTCACTTGTGCATGTCTTTATTTGAATAAAACAGCAGTAGAAATTACTGAGACAACATCTATGAAGTTCTTATTTTTGGCTCCCTAAAGTTTAGGATCATTTTGAACACCAAATGAAAACGAAAGGTTTTGCAAATGTACATAATGAATATTTACATGATGTCATGTATTTGATTATAAAAAAATTGCAAAGGATGACAGTAAAAGGGGTGAAGGTCAAATGAAAGTGTCAGAAGTCTGGGTGGGGAGAGGAAAGGAAATTTTTCAGAGAGGGTCAATGGGACAGTGAAGCATTTTCTATGTAGGGAAACAACTTAAGTTGACTAGTTGAAAGGGTTTTGTAGTGGTCGCATTGAGTTTTCAAAAGGTTGCAGTGTGAAAGATGAGGGGAAAGAGACAAGATTTAGAACTTTAAATAAGTTCTGGATATTGATGTTGCGGTGGGTGGTGAGGTCGTTGGAACAGTTAAAGGGATTGTGGGGTTATCATGTCTGAGGGTAAAGTGGATAGAGGGGGAGAGAGGAGGGGGTAGATTTTTTTATTTGTTTTAATTTTTATTAATTCAATTGTTTTAAACATTTAAATCAGTAATAATAATATATTTGATGATGTACTTGTTTTAACTGCAAATAAAAGTATTTAAAAAAAAAAAGTTTAGGGTCAGAATTTGTGTTGTCATTGTTGAATGATACACAGCTGTAGATTCAATCCATCGTCAGATTCTTAGTAAACTGTGGTCATTTGTTATATTTAACCCATTATAATTGTTCCCCCTCTGGGTTTCTTTCGGTTTGTACATATCAAACTTATCGCCATCGTATAATTTGCCATTTTGTAAAATATGTTGTAATTTGTTTTATGGAAAATAAAAGTTAAAAAAAAACAAACTAGGGACAGTTTTACATTTTTTTATTTTCAAACCAGATTACCAAAGGGTTTTAAGTAACATCAGACAATCTTAAGAAAGTAAACCTTTATTTCTTGTTTAATAGAAATACAAACAGGTACGATATCTAAAATAATACAACCGATGAAACTAATGCGTACCATTTGGTTTGAAGATAAAACTTCCCACTTATGAATTAACTTGTAGTTACATTTTGTGTCTTTGTATAACATTGCCGTCTGACTCAAGTCTAGGGGCAAATACTGTATTGTACTGGCGACTAAGATTCCACTGGGAGAACAGTCTGTTAGCAAAACTACGCACCAGTAACCAAAAAAAAAAACCACTACGCCCACCCCTACCCCGCACCTCACAACGCAAAAATAGACCCATTCCCCTCATAACCCACCTCCCACATATGTTTCACCCAGTCCTCACACACACGAACTGCTACCGTCTCTCTCTACATACAATTTTCTTGCTAAATTTAATATATATATATATATATATATATATATATATATATATACATATATATATATATATATATATATATATATATATATATATATATATATATATATATATATATATATATATATATATATATATATATATATATATGTGTGTGTGTGTGTGTGTGTACATGTACGTGTACGTGTACGTGTACGTGTACGTGTACGTTGTACGTTGTACGTGTACGTGTACGTTGTACGTTGTACGTTGTACGTTGTGACTGTGTACGTGTACGTGTACGTGTACACGTATATATAATATTAGCCGTCTGTATTTCACCACATTTTTTCAATCAATAGGCATCAGAACATCCCGCTTGAAAACTGTCTGTCGTCTGTATTACACCATTTAAACCACTCCGTTTCCTTTCACTCTCGTATGCTACCCCCCTTTTACTTACGCGCACGAATGATCACCCACCTGTTCTTAACACACATCTTAATTATTTTAATTAATCGAACGGTTAACAAATTTCCTACACGCTCAGCACATTAATGAAAACTAACCCGTTAGAACTGTGTATCTTATGTTTCTACATTCGAACACGCCTATTCTTTTACTACCTTCTCGCAATAAAATATGTATACTAATGTTTATAATAATATAAAACTATACTAATAACATAAATAACAAGAAAAATAATACTACAATAACGCTAACATAATATTGAAAATTAGTAGGAATAGTTATATTATTAATTGTCTTCAAATGACATCACTCATCCAGGTGGAGTAGAGTTTCAAATTTAAAATTAAGAGAGTAAATGAGTGCGGGCAGCTATAGTAATGTAACTGATATTAATATATTTTTTAAATTATTGGCAAAACTGGTTCAACATATATTAGTTTTCGTTAAAAATATGAGGTTATTTTAAAGTGTAGGTAGCGAGGAGTGCATCTTATGAATGGTTTGAGACAAAGGAAGATAATAGGATTAAGGGTTAAAATTCGGCTGAAATTCATGACATCCTATATGGATAACGCTTAATTAACGTAATCTTCATGAATTTAAACAAGGATTATAACATATACTTTACGCAGTGGGAGGGAACAACTTCGCGTATAGTTTTATAGAAGGGCTTAGATTGTGAAGAGGAATCGATGATTCCAACTTTCTATAAGTCACTCGTACCATATCTCGACGTGTGACTAATGTTTCTTCCAGACATTTCTCCGAGGGGGGGGGGGCGCACTTGATATTTTCCGGGGTGGGGGGGGGGGCTTACAACATTTTCCGGGGGGGGGGGGGGAAACTGGTAAAAGTATATGTTGTATATGTTTTCTATGTAAATTTCAATTCGCTCGGGGAGCGAAGGGGGGGGGGGGGGGGGTGGTGGTGGTGGTAATCTTTCTCCGGGGGGGGGGGATGCCTGGAAGAAACTGCGTGTGACGTACCTTCCTCGCGAACTGGATATTTTCGCCCACAATCGGCCAGCCCATACTTCCGGGAGGGAGTGGCAGCGGGCATTTCCGGTCCTTCATATTCTCGCAACGTCGTCTCCATAGCAACGAGCTGAGGTAGACAGCCAGGACTGACGTGAAGGCCAACAGAAGAAGGGTGAGGTGTGAAGGGTCATCCTTGTCCGACCTGAAAATAATAAAGACAGTTTTATTGTTCGACTTGTTTCTGACCATCTGAATTTTTCTTTTTAATTAAAAACAATTTATTACAAATATCTAAAAATTTTGTCATTCAATATCTGATGCTTGTTTTATGTGGCATTTTAATAGGCTGAGATTTTCACTGTAACCACTAGACCTGGTTGTACTATTTCTTCGTCTAATTTCTAATTTACTTCCTGCTAGAGCGCTGACATATTTGCTCATTTCTTCATCTTCATTCATAACCATTTCACTACCATTTTGTGCAACAATCACAAGTTTTAAATCAGTCTCAATTATATTGTGCTCATGTAAGATTCTGAGTTTCTCCTCTGAAACTAGAACATTGGTACAAACACTAATGTTTTCTTTTTTTTTTCACCATTTAGTAGAATTAGATGCACCTCCACACACTCAGTGTCTGATTCAAAATTAAAGCTCATATTTGGGATGCAATGAATTGAATTATACTATTTGGAATGATGAGTTCTGAAAAATTTTTTAGGCAACTTCACTTGACTACTAACTAAAAAGTAGTAGATCTAGTAGATTCTAGAGCCAAGATCTATTCTAGAAGAAGAATCAAAATTCTAGATCTAGAATCTACTCTAGATCTAGACTAGTTGTGAATGTTCAACATGAGTTGTTGCGATCATCTGGATATAATATAATCCTTTACAAACCAATTGAAAGTATTATTTTAATTTGAAAAAAACACTAAACTATAGCATAAACTTAATTTATTGAGCTGAAAGTGTTTCTATAAGGAGGTATCCTTTTTACAAACACATCTGCGTCATGTTTAACTTGTTCTATACTCAAGAAACTTTAGTCACATTAAAAACAATGCGCCCCCTTCCTCCCCCCCTCCATTTGATGTCACAAAATTTATATAGAAAACAGTAAGGGGTTATATGTTATATCAGTGGTTCCCAACCTTTTTCGAGTGGCGACCCCCTTTTATAAAAATTAAGTGACCCGCGACCCCCATAGAATTAAAAAGCCGAAATTAGTATGGAAATTAATAAGCACTAAAATAAGATTTTCTAGTAGACTTTCAATATGAACTACTCTTGATAACTGTTTTAATAGCATGAGTAAAATTGCATACTATTCACTAAACTTTCGTGGTTAAGTTTTTAATTTTTTTTTTAAATTGTTAACGCCAACCTATGTCATTATAATTATCTTAATTTTGTTTTTAATCGAAGAATAGTTTTGAAAATATATTCTCGAAAAGTCAATCAATTTTACGTTTGGGTATGAATGGTGAATACTACACCAAAATTGTGTCTGCAGTTTTTCATCTTACTCGGAATCATTCTGCAAATCAAAGAATTCATCTTGTAATTCATCGGGAATGCTGGCAACATCAAGGGAAGAAGAGAATGGGTAATGCGTGAATGCAGATTCTTCTTTTTTCATCTCAGAGAAATAGCGATACAGTTCGTTTTCAAGAGATTCAAGATGCACAGAAATCTCTTCTTTCAAAATTTTAATTATCTCACAATCAGATTCATCTACCACACTGCAGAGTTTCTCAAATTTACAATATTTCTAAGATTTGTTTTCTTTACCGATTTTGCAGCTTTGATAAAAATGCCCCGAGATTATCATGGAAAGTTATAATATTCGTTCATTTTCCCTGAAGCTTCAGGTTAAGCTTATCTTGATGTTCGAACATATCTGCTAGGTTTGATACTCTCTCTAACCACTCTATGTCGTTTTAAGTATACCAAAAAGCCTTGTTTCCTTTGCACTCCCAAGAACAATTTGATTTCAGATTTCAATTCGAAAACACAATTTACAACATTTCGTTTGACAGCCAGCGTACTGTAGTGTAGAAGAGCAGAACCTCGTGATCTATATTAATGTTTTTGCTCAGTTCTTTGAAGGCTCCAGATTTTATATAATTTACGACTTATACTAGCAATGGACTCTTGATGTCGATTGGTTAAGGCAGCGGTTAGGGAGCTAAATCTTGTCTGTTTTCTGAAATTTGAGCTAAACATGATGGCGCACCATCCGTACAAACCCCCACAGCCGTTCTAACCCAATTTAATCATCCAGTTTCAAAAAAGATATTTCTTTTCTCCATGCTATCTTCACAAAAGAGCAACTCTTTTATCTATGCTATCATCCGCATGAATATAGACACAGACCAGCAACTGCGAACACGAATTCACGTCTGTTGATTTATCATCTTGAAAAGCAAACAATGGTGAAAGCTTAATTTCAATAAAAATGTGTTATTTAACATTTACGTACATGCAGCGTTTGATGAGATTTTCTCCTATTGTTTTTTTTTTTTTTTTGATTGGCATTTTCTATCGCGACTTCATTTGATGCTTGCACTAATGCTGGTGAAAACTTCCTGTTCGATCAAGTCTCTGGCGTTTGCAACTAGCTTCTTATCGACGAAAGAACTCCATATATTTTTTGGTGTATTCCGAATGGCTCGTCTCAAATGACGTTTTAGTTTTGAAGATTTCATAGATTCGTGACTGAGAACAATATTGTACAGTGCGCTTTGTTTCTTCTCTATTACATTTCCAGTGATGTTAATGAAGCCGAATTTCAAAAATTCTTCTAAATATTTATGTTTTGTTTCAAATTACTAAGGTTTAGTATACCAGTTGGCGACCCCCGAGAAAGACCTTCGCGACCCCCAGGGGGGTCGCGACCCCCAGGTTGGGAACCCGTGTGTTATATGTTAATGATAGGCAACTTGTCTCCCATTTTATAATTTTATTTAAATATTTTAGAACCGGTAGATGTTTCTTACCTCCCCTAACCCTTGGCAGGGAAAACATAATGGTATTTGACTATGTATGATGCAGTAATACAGCTTAGAATTCGCGTTTTTTTTTTCTATCTTGGTGCGACCGTCTCACCCACCCTCACCCACCCTCTTAAAAGATTGTCTCACTCCCTTGTTATTTGTCAACAGGGCACCGCTTTGACCACCCCCCCTACCCCCACCTCCACCGCTTATATATCCTGCAGCACGTCGTTGTTGTATTTATACTCAACCGCGTCCATTTATACAGTTACTATAGTAACCGTAAGATCAATAGAAACAACATTTAACACACTTTTACCCATCGCAGATGTGAACCTAACTTTTTTTTTCAATTTTTTAAAATGAACATCAGGAAATAGGTTGTCTTTTACGAAAAGTAGCTTAACCGAATTATAGTTGAGGTGGTACATAAGTGACGTCACGCTATTTCGCTCTATTTCTGCTCCTCGACCTCCCCCCTCCCGTCCTCCCTACCCCTTGTCATACATCATCACAATTGACAGCGCACCCCCTTCCCTAACCCTCCGTCCCAAATTACCCTCACCAACCAGTGTCTCGTATTCTTGAAGAAAGCTCCGAGATAGCTGCATAGGAATAGTATTGGACAAAGGACTCGATAGTTCTAGCATGACTGTGTGTGATACCGTTGTACAGACGTAATCGAGACAGTATTTCAAGCACACAAAATTCAGTGGACTAGACTTCGGCAAGATAATTTACCTTACTCACCTAATGAAATTGCATATTATATCTGGGTATTGTATAAACAAGTGTTTCTTTCAGACTTTTTCTATTGGGGATAGGGGGAGGACTTGAAATTTTCGAGGTGACAGGGTTTGGACTAAATTTTCCACGGAGGCGGACATAGGTAAAACTAATATATTATCTATATGGATTCTATTTCATTCGGCGGAGAGGGGGGGGGGGGGGGGGGCGACGTACTTGGGGGGGGGGGGGGGGGGGGAGGGGGATGCTCAGCATCCCCTAGAGATGCCTGAAAGAAACTGTGGTCTAAACCTAATCCTACCCCTAACCCGAACGATAAATTTAGCCATATCCCTTTTCTTTATACCCTTCATCCTAACCTAAGCCTAAGTGTTGTGGATATGTGAGTGAGAACTGATATCCGATACATAAAATGCTAACACATATCCGATATCCGTTGCCATAACTCTAATAATAATCTAACAAACGCCACTAAATAAAACTAACTACCATGCTCCCTGTGGTCAGTATTTAACTCTATCTTAACCTATCCCGATTCTTAAAAATGTGTGTGAGATCAGGACCGATAACCTCTAGAGTATTCTAACTATTTACTACACAAAGGCCGATAACCTCTTGAGTATTCTAACTATTTACTACGCAAAGACCGATAACCTCTTGAGCATTCTAACTATTTACTATACAAAGACCGATAACCTCTTGAGTATTCTAACTATTTACTACACAAAGACCGATAACCTATTGAGTATTCTAACTATTTACTACACAAAGGCCGATAACCTCTTGAGTATTTTAACTATTTACTACACAAAGACCGATAACCTATTGAGTATTCTAACTATTTACTATACAAAGACCGATAACCTCTTGAGTATTCTTAATTATTACTACACAAAGACCGATAACCTCTTGAGTATTTTAACTATTTACTATAACAAGACCGATAACCTCTTGAATATTCTATTTACTACACAAAGACAAATAACCTCTTGAGTAATCTAACTATTTACTACAACTAGACAGATAACCAATTGAATATTCTATTTACTACACCAAGACCGATAACCTCTTGAGTATTCTAACTATTTACTACACAAAGGTCGATAACCTCTTGAATATTCTAACTATTTACAACGCGATCGTTAACAGCTGACTACACCTTACCTATAATTACACTAGTGTAACAATGGTACACACACACACACACACACGTATGTACACACACACACACACACACACACACACCCTGTCACGTGATTACACAACGTATAAAAACAAAAGCACTTACCCCTCGATAACCCCTGACACCACCACAAGAGAAAGATAACGGCGACCAGCCCAGCACACACCAGTACCAACAAAAAAACTACCAAGAAAACCGTTGCAGTCGCATCATCATCATTTCCCTCCTCTCTCTCCCATCCCATCCCCTCCCACTCCACCTGCCCCCCCCCCCC